TAGACATCTTGTCTTGTTCCTGATCTTACCCCTCAGATAAAAGACTAATATCTAGAACATACAAAGAATTGAAAAAAATCAGACCCCCCCAAATTTAAAGACCCAATCCAAAAATGAGATCTGAAATGAATAGACACTTCTCAGATGAAGAAGTAGAAACAGCAAACAAATACATGAAAAAAATGTTCAACATCATTGGTCACCTGAGAGATGTAAATTAGAACAGTGAGATTCCATCCAACTCCAGAAAGAATGGCTATTATCAAGAAATCAACCAACAACAAATGCTGGTGGGGCTGTGGGGAAAAAGGAACCCTTCTCCACTGTTGGTGGGAGTGCAGACTGGTACAACCACTGTGGAAATCACTGTGGAGATTCCTCAAAAATTTAGGATTAGAGGTCCCATTTGACTCAGCTATTCCCTTGCTGGGTATCTTCCCAAAAGAATTAAAAGCATCATACTACAATGATAAGGTGCACCAATGTTTATAGCAGCACAGTTTGTAATAGCTAAATCTTAGAAATAATGCAAATGTCCATCAAGTGATGAATGGATAAAAAAGAGGTGATTTTTTAATACAATGGACCACTACTCAGCCATAAAGAAAGATAAACTGGAGATATTTATAGCTAAATGAATTCAACTTGAGACTATACTCTTAAGTGAAATAAGTCAGACACATATGTGTAAATGTCTCTCTAATGTGAGAAACTGAAAGAGTAAATAAAAACCAAAATGTATAATAGATAATATGAAATAGGAAGAAACTGTTCAAAAGGAAAGGGAAACTGTGAAAGGAAGGGAGGAAGGGGGGAAAATTGATAAAAGAAGGAAAAATGGAAACAAAGCATTTGTAAATGGGAAGAGGTTAAAGGGAGGAGAGTGGAATGGGAGAAAAAGAGGAATCAAAGTCTATCATGTACAGGTACAAGCTCCCTCCAGTGAATGCAATCACTATGTATATTTAAATTGTACCAATAAAATTCAGTAATAAAAAAACTTTAAAAATCAAATTACATTCTTCACAGGAATAGAAAAGAACCCTAAAATTTCTATGATACCACAAAATACTCCAAATAGCCAAAGCAATATTGAGGAAATAGAATAATCTGGAGGTATCACACAATTTGACATCAAAATACACTACAAAGTTATACACAATCCAGTACACAATTGAAACAGCCTGACATTGGCATTAAAAACAGACATATTGACCAATGAAACAGAACAGAAATCCCAGAAATAATTCATGCATTAATGGTCAGTCGATTTCTGACAAAAGCCAGCACACATGAAAAAAGGGCAATTTCTTCAATAAATTGTGTTGGAAAAATTGGATATCCACAAGCAACAGGCTAAAATTCTACACTTTTACCACATGCCAAAGTCAAATCAAAATGGTTTAAAGACCTAAAAGTAATACCCAAACTTCTACTACTAGAAGAAAGCCTGGGAGAAAAGCTCCATGACATTGACCTGGACAATGATTATTTTTAAATAAGACCTCATGTGCCCAGGAAACAAAAGTGAAAATAGGCTATATATACAAACTAAAGCAAATCTGCCTTCCTAACCACCAGAAAATGTAAATTAAAACCACACTGTCAATATATCAAGCAATATCTCCATTCCTATGTTCATTCCAACATTAGTCACAACAGCCAAAATATGGAATTAATTTGTGTCCATCAGTGAAAGAATCAATAAAGAAATATGGTACAGTGGAATACAATTCAGTCATAAAAAATAATGATATTCTAACATTTGCATCAATGTGGATAAATCTGGATGACAAGTTAAGCGAAACAGACAAGCACAGAGAGAAAAACAGTACACAATCTCACCTAGATATAGAATCTAAAAGTGTTGACTCATAGCCCCCAGAGTACTACCTTTCCACAGTACCGCCTTTCCAAACCACAGTTGGAGTGTTTTCTTTTATTAAGCTTACATTTTGTAAATCTTTTATATGAGCAATTGAATACTGTCCATAATCTTATCAATTATATACTGTACACACATCAGTGGATTCCCAAGGGTATTTTTCTAGATTGGAAGTGCATAATATAACTCCATCAAGCTATTATGGCACTTCATTAAAAAGACTTAGCTTTGCTGTAGAATTTGTGTGTTATAGTTAATTTTGTACATTTTGATTAGAAGGTTGTGTATCAATCCGGAAGCTGATTTAGACTGGATTTATATGTCCTTTTCTGGTTTTCAGAAGTTATAGAATTTTAAATATGATTGCATAGGAAGATAGATAAATAGAAAGTAGAGGTTCAGATGGTTCCCCAAATTACCTATTCTACTGTTTCAAAAATATTTTAATATATATGCTAATTTGTTTATACTACTAGTTTCTCTTAGCTCATTGAAAAGAAAGTTTTGTGCTAATATCTGTTTCTTCTTTATAAGACAGAATCTTTTTTGTCAACCTCTTGTACTCTGGAGTAACTACTTTGAGGATAACAGTACATGGTGTATTAACTATTGTTATTCTCATTTTGTTATGAAATGTTTTATGAAATAAAAAAGGAAAAAATAAATATGATTGCATACACCAGTGGAATTCATAGCTAAAAGAAATCAGCTCATTCCAGTTGATAGATATTATAATGCACAGAAGTAATTTACCAGAGTCTATTTTCATCTATTTTATTAATTTTGCCATCTTTTTGAATAACAGATGGAAAAGGAGGGCACCAAAATACCGGTAACATACTGTGACAGGTAACAGTGGTAGCAGATTGGTAGCAGCTTTTAGTTCTATCTACATACCAGGCAACCTATGATGCTCTTCATGTGTGTGAGGAAAAAATAAACCAATATTCCATTCCAAAATCTTTGAACTGAGTAAATTAAAATGTGAGGCTATCATGTTCCATTGTATGATAATAAATTTGAAAATTTTAGTAAGATAAGTAACTTTGGGAAAACATAAATGGTCAAGATGTTCTCAAGAAATAGAAATGTTGAGTACATCAGTGAATGAGGAAGAAGTTAAAACATATATCAAGAACATATGCATAAAAATTTTTCTAAAGCCAAGATGTTCTCTCAAAGAAAAAGATAATTATAATGTTTCATAACTGTTTGACTTTTTATTAAAAGGAAGTTATTAAACCTAAGCTTTCCATTTTAGCATGCATAATTCTAACTCAAAAACCTGGCTAAACATCATCACAAGGGAAAAACCATAGTTAAAATAAATTATAAATAAAATGTGTGTTCCCAAGTTAATTTATAATTAGATTTGGGAGAGAATTGAATTAACTGATTCTTATATTTAATTAAGATAGGAAACAGGAATAAAATCTTTTGTTTCCTGTTAAGTAAAAAATAATGAGGAGACAACAGACATTAAAACTATGAGCCTACATTACAAAGCACACTACTGACAAAGAATAGGAACATGATCTATGAACATGTGAACATGTTTAAAATAATTTAAAAATATCAACTATCAATGGGGGAAATAATCATGTATAAGTGCTGCTTAAATTTTTGTTAGATATTTAGAAAAGTTGAATTTTCAATCCTTAGAATACAAAGTATATCTAACTTCATATTATTTAAAATTTTTTAAAATGCAAATATTTGGACAAATACCCCTCCCAAAAAGGCATTTACCGTCTCAGTACATGAGGAATAATTATAAGCACCAAAACAGTAAAAAAGTGGTAAAAGAACTCAGCTCAAAAGTTTTATATAGTTACCTAGATGAAATTTAAAATTTATCAAAGTCAAAACAATTTAAAAATAAACAAACTATAAAAGTACTCATGACTAACACAATAAAAATTTAATGCCCTAACTATATGAAGAGCTTCCAGAGATCAATAGAGAGGATTAGATAATTCTCTAAAAGACAAATGAACAACAGACATTAAGAACTGAATATGGTAGTGCAAGCCTGTAATCCCAGCATTTAGAGAGGCTGAGATAGAAGGATCATAAGTTCAAGTCCTATTTGGGGAACTTAGTGGGATACTGTCTCAAAATTTTAAGAAAAGAGGGCTGGAGATGTAGCTCAGTGGTAGAGTGCCTCTGGGTTGATCCCCAGGTG